TGCTCAAAGGCATCTCCAAAGAGTCACAGAGCCATGGGGATACAGAATCGTTTATTGGGTAGTAAGAGAAGGGACACAGTAGCGAGAGAGTGGGGTCCAAAGTGGCCCCAAGAGGGCCTCACTTGGTTCCTAAGTTCATGATGAGAGTTCTGGTCCTGAGGTTGGCTGCTCCTACACAAAAAAGAGCACAATAACTCCACCATTACTCTCTTGACATATGTCCTTGCTACTCTCCACAAGCTGAGCACTGTCCCCAAGGCTATCAATCCACAAAGATGGAACCTTTTAACCTTCATACACACACTACTGCTATAGCCCCTAGCCTCAGACTAGAGATGCCTCTCCATGGCACCTGCCCAGAGACCTTAGAGACCCACCACACTTCTAAGTCCCTCACTCTTACAGGACCCCTAGGCTCTGCCAGGCCCGGGGCAGAGGAAAAACGACAGTTATTTGGCATTGATTCTATCCCCTTATATTTTCCAAACCACCTGATGATGGAGGCTTAGGCAAGCTCAGCAAGGCTGTTTAGATCCATGGAAAGACAAAGCAGTGCACATGCTCCCAGCCCTGGGGTAAGTGGGCAGGGAGAAAAGAATAATCAGAGGCCTAGGAGGACTGGAAATGTACCAAGATACAGAGAACTAGGAGGGTAGGACGATAGTAAGAGAAGACTACAGATGTGAAGAAACCACAAATGTGTCTCTCCACCATACCAGGACAATCCTTAAGGGTGTCTCACACATGCATGCATCACACACACACACACACACACACACACACACACACACACACACACACTCCCTAGACACAGGTAACTTTTACACATTTACAAATCATCTACTACTTATGGTTTTGTGAGTTCCAAAATTGTAAGCAATGAGCTCAGATAGGAACTGGGCAGCTTTCTGCCATGATTTGGTTGGGCACGTCTTCCCAAGAACCTGACTGCATTGAGATCCCAAGGGCTTCTAGCCCAACCTTGTAGTGGGGCAGTAAATGGAAAGTTGGCAGTTCTGCCCTCATGGGGTTCTTGAGAACAGGATGATGCAATTACAGAATAAGGTGCAAACCCTGGGGAGGAAGCCTAAAGGCTAAGAAGACATGGGGTACACTGGACTGAACAGAATCCCCCATCCAGAACCTCTGAATGACAGCGGGGTGGTGGTGGTGCACACCTTTAAGCCCAGCACTCAGGAGGCAGAGGCAGGAAGACCTCTGTAAGTTTGAGGCCAGCCTGGTCTCCAGAGCGAGTTCCAGGACAGCCAGAGCTGTTACAAAGAGAAACCCTGTCTTGAAAAAAAACAGCAACAACAAAAAAACAAAAACAAAAACAAAAACAAGTCAAACTGAACCTCTAAATGAGATCTTACTGGAAGACAAGGTTTCTGTAGACTTATGGGTTAGGGATCTCAGATGGGATCATCCTAAGGTCAGGGTGGCCCTAACCCAAAGGTGGGCATCCTTGTAAAAGAAATAATTCAGATGCAGACAGGCAGAGGAAAGAGGCAGCCCCTAGAGTGATGCAGCTAAGATTAAAGCTGCCCAGGGCAGAGGGCGTATGAGAAGCTGGGAGGAGCCCAGGCAAGAGCCCTCTCCCAGGCTCCACACGCCTGGATTCCTGACTTCAGCTTCCTGGACTATGAGAGAATTCTTTCTGTCTCCTTGACCTGGCTAATTGAGGTGGTCCCAGAAAATCAGACTGGCTTCTCCCACAAAACATATCTAAGCTAAAGCCAAAAGTGTGAGGCTCAATAGGTAAAAGAGACAGCAGATTTCAGGGGTGAGATGAAGGCACCAAGAGTCTTGCCATCCCAAGCTCAGCAGAGAAGTCACCCTGCACCCGGCCTGGAAAGTGTTGGCACTGGTCACTCGAGATGAGTGTTGCACAGCCTCTCCTCATTTCATATAAGGTCATAAGGGAGGTTGGGGTGCCCACTTCCACCCTAAACCCTATCTCTTTGAATATCTTTCCCTGCACCTTTCCCACCAGCCCCCAGCTTTCATCTCTCCATTTTGGGAAGTGAGAAAAACTGAAGTTTAACCAGCTTCAGTCTGAGGGTCCGAACTGTGAGGCTTACCAAGGAAGGAAGGGTTCCCACCAAAAGGGTGGGACAAGTCCTACAAGAGGAGACGAGAGACAAGTGAGGAAGGAGTGAGGAGAAGCTGGACTGCGTCCCAGGGGAGGAAGATTCTGGTCTGAATGGGCAGGAGGGTACACAGAGAAGTGAAGTGGGGCCAGGGACAGGGGAAGCCCAGGCCTCTCACTGGGGAGCTGCGCCATAGCACTAAGCGTATCGTCCGGCTCCTTGTAGATGTAGACCTCTGCAAATGAGCTGTAGTCAACACAGACATGCACACATCCAGGTAGTGAAGGGCTGCAGAGGAAGTGGCGCAGGTGGCCAAGACAAAACCTGGGCAGGAGTTGGGTGCGCCTCTGCTGCACCACACAAGTGAGACCCTGGAGAGGGTGGGTATGCAGTCCCTGATGTTGAAGGAACCAGCTTCCCTTTTGGCAGCCATAACGGCCAAACACGTGCTTCTATGACTTTGTCCCAGACACTAGAAAGTCGGATGCCTGTCTCGTGACAAGGAGCCAATCAGAGGTTAGCTGGTGGCGCTATGCTTTACTACCCTGGGTGTGCTTTACGGACAAGCGCACAGCAATGACGTAGAGAGCATAGCAACCACCCTGGGAGGGCCTATGGGCCATAACAACCAGTTGACCAATCAACACAGGGCAAGCCCTCCAAGCCTGGAGGCACACCAATCCTGAGTCTGTGCGTACCCCTAGACACTCCCCTTACGCTGCCCTATAAGATCTTTCGGGAACCCCTAGGAGCCTCTTTTCTAGCCATCCGCCATGGCGGGTGGGTGAAAGACCCGAGCTAACATGGGGTTAGCTCGTTAAATTACAATAAGGCCTCGTGCAGTTTGCAGCAAGCTCTCAAATCCGCCTGGTGATTGGGGTGACTGCGAACATGGCCTGGGACCCCGGATACTTGAGTTTTCGGGGGTCTAACAATGTAAGCCCGGATGCTCCCAGGAGACTTCCTGGTCCCCAACAGGATCTGCCTGGAACTCAAAAGTGCCCCTGGGATCCCATCCTCAGGTATTCAGCTTCAATCTGGTTACAGCCATCTACCCTGGTGGTCATAGCCATTGTTTCCTGCTAGTGCACTTGGCCTCTCCCAGCTAGCCAGCTCACAGGCTACTCATCTTGGGAACTCCATGTGTACATTGAGGTCACCCTCCACAGGTGCACTGACAGCTCTGGTGGATGTCAGCAAGTCCTTGTTATCTAGGACTTTGCAGTCAAACACCATGGCAATGACATACCAGAGACCTGAGAACTGAAGGGTGGTTCTGTGACCACAGGCCCATAGTCATGTGGGCCTCCTTGCCCAGAAACCCCAAGGACAAGCCAAGACCAGAGAAGCAGGGGCCTGTGTGAGGTCCCACAGTGAGTCTCTGTCAGGGTTGTGTTACTGATCACTTAGAGCCTCCATTTCTCACTGTGGAGTAGCCAGGGATGGCCTGTGCCCAGGTCTAAAGCATTCCCTGACCTTGCAGCTGAAGCTTGATCCCTCCCAACATGGGCACAGCAGGAGGCCTTGTACCTTTTGGACATCAAATTCACACTGCAGCAAGACCTCAGCTGGAGCCTTAGACACCCAGAACAGCACCAATACTTAGCTCTGCTCTGGGGTATTTGTACACTATAAAGATGTATTGCTGTGATTGGTGTAATAAAAAGCTGAGTGGCCAATAGCTAGGTAGGACAGACAGGTGGGACTTCCGGTCCAGAGAGAAAACACCAGGAAGAAGAAAGGTGGAGTCACCAGCCAGATGCGGGAGGAAGCAGGATGGGCAGTACAGAATAAAGGTAATCAAGCCACTTAAAAGAATGTAGATTAAAAGATATGGGTTAATTTAAATTATGAGAACTAGTTAGTCTGATGACAGCTTATGCTGGAGAGGATGTGGAGAAAGGGGAACACGCCACTGTTGCTGGTGGGAGTACAAATTCGTACAGCCACTTTGGAAATCAGTATGGCAGTTTGTCAAAAAATTGGGAATCAATCTACCTCAAGACACAGCAATACTACTTTTGGGCATATACCCAAAGGATGCACACTCACACCGCAAGGACATTTGCTCAACTATGTTCGTAGCAGCAATATGTGTAATAGCCAGAACCCAGAATCAACCTAGATGCCCCTCAACCAAAGAATGGATAAGGAAAATGTGGTACATTTACACAATGGAGTACTACTCAGTAGTTTAAAAAAAAAAAATGACATCTTGAAATTTGCAGGCAAATGGACAGAACTAGAAAAGGCCATCCTGAGTGAGATAACCCAGACCCAGAAAGACAAATATAATGTGTACTCACTCATAAGTGGATATTAGACATAAAGCAAAGGATAACCAGCCTACAGGCCACAACCCCAGATAACCTAGGTAACAAAGAAGACCCTAAGAGAGACATACATGGATCTACCTAGGAAGGGAAAAAAGACAAGATCTCCTGAGTAAATTGGGAGCATGGGAGGCAGGGGAAGGTGGAAAGTGACAAGGGAGGAGGGAAGGGGATTGATGAAAAAAATGTATAGCTCAATAAAGAAAACAGAAAAAAAGAACTAGTTAGGAATAAGCCTCAGCTAAGGACGAACTTTCGTGGTTAATAATAAGCCTTTGCATCTTTATTTATGGGCTGGCAATCCTGGCAAGAAACTACTACTATATTTGGAGTCCAATGTGGAGGCTTGAATACCCAAATACAGGGCCTGGGAAAGTTAAAACAAAAAGTTCTGGACAAGGAGCCAGTCTCTCAGGTAGGCCGATGCTTGTGGAGTACAGAGGCCCAGCTCCCATCACTGCCTGCAGACCTGATGGAGCCAGGGGCCAGTGCCAGTACCATGCAGCAGCTGACGTGGTCATTTATGATTTTTCTCACTTGGTCAGAGAACACTGAAGGCACTGTTTCATGACAGATCCAGACACTGAAAACCTCTTAAAAAGGCACAGTATGCTTTAAAAGGTGCTTGGGTGCTAGAGAAAGAAAAAAAAATGGTATAGACAGTCATAGAAAAAATAAATACGTTAAAGATAATAAAAAGAATAAAGCATGCAAAGGTGGGAAATACAAAGGGTGACTGGATCCTGTATGGTATATTTTTACTTTGAATTGTTTAAATGCTAATGTACAAAAAAACAATATCTGGTGAAAGACATTGGATAATGAAAACTTCTAAATTAAGCCAACCCATATATTTTGAGAATGTCTCATCTTCAAAATGGAAGTAAAAAAATATGTTGTTTTGGGGGAGAGGTTATGCCTTTGTTTCCACAGGAAACAAAAATTAACGAAGATCAGATTTGATTGGGGAAGTCTTCCTGAAAATCTTGGCTGTAGACATGAAGAAAGAAGCCAAGAAAGACTGCATGACAGGTAACGTATATGCTGATCCCTCAGCTATGGAACAGCTCTGAGACTGGGTAAGACATGATAAATCTTATTGGCCTCAGACTTGGTATTACATGCCATCCTTCCATGTGGCATGTATAGAAGTGGTTATACAGTCCAAACAGACTATAAAATTGACAAATGCCTTTTACTTTCTCAAATAAGCAATACTGGGCAAAAAAAATGGGGAAATACAGTGATATATTATTTATGATTTATTAAAACTTGCCTGAGGATTAAGAAAGCAAAGCCAGCCACAAGCTATGAAGGTCAGGCAGTGGGCATACACACCTTTTTATCCCAGCAGCCATACTAGCTAGCCGGGCAGTGGTGGCACACACCTTTAATCCCAGGACTCGGGATAAAGAGGTAGACAGATCTCTGTTAGTTCAAGGCCACACCGACTACATGAAATTGATCCAGTCCTAAAAGAAACAGCTCACACAAAGGTGAGCTCAGCACCTGGGATCACATGCCTTTAATCCCAGCACTAGGGAGGTAGAGACAGGAGGATATGGCTGGAAGGAAAAAGGAATAAAAGACAGGAGGAGACAGGAACTGAGAGCTTTTGCCTCTGAGGATTTGTGGAGACCAGATTGACATTTCAGCTGGGTAGAGGTAAGAGCTACTGGCTTGGCTACTTTGCTTTTCTGATCTTCAGCTTGAAGCTTGAACTCCAATATCAGTCTCTGGGTCTTTTATTTTTCATGCTGCAGTTAAGGGCACTTGTTGTGAAAGACGTGGGTCTGATTCCCAGCACCCACATGGAGGCTCACCACCTTCTCAGGCACCAAGCACACAGATGTACATGCAGGTAAAAACACTCGTACACATAAAATAATAAAAATAAAATTTAAAAAGCTCTCTCACTCTACACACACACACACACACACACACACACAGTGAAATGAAAATAAATTTCCAGTCCCTAATTCAGAATCTGACATGTGGAAAACATAAATGAATGAGAGATGGATGGACCTGCCATGGCTGAAGTCTAGAGTCTCCATAGCACAGTAGCACTTGTAGCTGGCAGGACTTACATGGTGGCAGCATCTTCCCTGGTCCATGGGAGCAGATGATGTTCCAGACCCCAGCCATTAGCCCTGCCAGTCAGAGCCCCTACTCCCTCCCCTTAGTGTCCAGCACAGGTCATGAGGTACAGGCAGGACCTCCAATATATCCTATGGCCACATATCCTCAGAGAATAGAGGTGCAAGCCAGTGCACTCCCAGCTTTCTCCTCAGGAGGTCAGCAGGCAGGACTCAGGACCAGAGGGACACTTGGACCTGGAAGAACCTCCAATGGTGTTTTTCCCTAAAATAGCCCCTGGTTGGTAACAAAGGGTTGTACATAGGTGTAGACAACAGACAGAGGGTGATTACAGTAATAAGCATTTTGATGGCTGGAGTGGGATGGGGATGGATTCTGGCACTCAGGAGCCAAAGAATACTGAGTGTATCAGCTCAGATGAAAAAGTATTCTGGCACTCAGGAGCCACAGAATGTGTTACATTACACAGAATGTGTTACAGGAGCCACTAAGTGTTACAGCTTAAATGGAAAGGTATTCTGGCACTTGGGAGCCAAAGAATACCACAGGTCACAGTAAGCGTAGCAGCTTACAGCCCTGCTCCAGGGAAAGGTTTCCCCAGTGTAACAGCTCTGCTCCAGCAGGAGAGGGTTTCTCCAGAGAAGTTATTACAGTTCAGTTCAGGTCCCAGGAGCTTCTCTAGGGCTGGGCTGGCTCAGCTCACTCAGCTTTGCTCTGCTCTACTCTGGCTCCTGCAAAAAGTTGTTACTTCTCCGCAAAAGAAGGTCTCACCCAAACCTCATTCAAGAGATTTACTGGGAGGGAAGAATCCAGGAGAGTGGCTGCCTCTGCCAGGGTGGAAGGAGGACAACTAGGCAGACAGACAGCTGGACAGCCACAAGCTGAACAGACAGACACAGGGTTTATATAGGAATTCTTAGGGGGGTGGAGTTTTTCCAGGGAGATTTCCAGGGTGGTGATTGGTCAGATTTCAATCCCTGAACTGAGACTGGCTAGATCTCCTGCTAAGGGATTGGTTAGTTTTCTGCACAGGTTTAGGGTCAGATTTGGCTCTGGTTTCAGAGCCAAAGTGTGTTTCTTTCACTGGTCCTTTTTTAACCTTTTGGCTCTAATTTTAGGGTCAGGGTGTATTTCTTTCACTAGCTCTGATTCCAGGCACAAAGGGTGTTTCTTTGGTACTGGTTTCAGGGTCAGGGTGCATTTCTTTTGTTTTGTTTGTTTGTTTTGTTTTGGGGTTGGTTTTTTTGTGTTTGTTTGTGGTTTTCTGAGACAGGATTTCTCTATGGCTTTGGAGGCTGTCCTGGAACTAGCTCTTGTAGACCAGGCTGGTCTCAAACTCACAGAGATCTGCCTGCCTCTGCCTCCCGAGTGCTGGGATTAAAGGCGTGCGCCACCACCGCCCAGTTTAGGGTACACTTCTTTGGTTCCAGTCTCAGGGCCAAAGTGTGCTTCTTTGGCTCTGCTCGGGGTGTGTTTCTTTGGCTGGTCCTTTTTCCCTACAATTACCACCTATTGGGGTGCATGAAGTCCTGCCCCTGGAACCACTGGGAAGGGGTTCACCCAGGAATGGGCACTGACCTGAACTCATGAAGGAAGACATGTGAACTGAAGCAATAATGACACTGTGGTTGTGATGAGGATCCTCTGTAGGAGAGGCCATCTGCCTGCTGAAACTACCCAACCTCCCTTTGTGGGATGGAGGACCCAGAAAGACATCCCCAGATTTTATAGGCATGGGCATGCCTGCGGAATCCCAGTGGCAGGGAAGCTGGGTACAGGGAAAATAGGCTGGATGGAGTACCACACACCATGAGGCTCTGTGAGCCATGCTGTATGGCACTTC